CACACACACACACACACACACACGCATACCTGGTGCCGTAGTCAGAGCAGCGCACGCACACAGCCGCGTACTTGCTGAGTATGGGCTGAACGTACTCTCGGCCCTGCTTCACGATAGCTGGGTCTGGCAGTTGTCTGGAAGAACAGGAGTAGTTACCATCAGTCAGCCCCTTGGTGGGACAGCAGGGCCACCTTAGCCATCACCACCTCTCTATCACTGAAGGGCTTGCCCTGTCTCTGAAGGGAACCTCAAGGGTCATTCTGTCCACTCTCATACCTGTCCAGTCTTTGATATATGACTCCATCACTGGATTCCAGCCACAAGGGCCTCCCCTGGACCAGTGCGCCCTGGAGACACGAAGCCCTGGGAGCTGCAGACCCTGCTGACTGGACACACTGGGGGTCCAGCTGGAGCAGAGTGAGGGGCCTCATCTTCAGCTGAAACAGGCCCTCAGGAGAACACACACGCACACTCACACATGCCTCCATGGGGCCCAGCTAGAAGGTGGGAGCTGCGCGGAGCAGGGGTCAGTGATGGGCAGGCCATGTCAGGGGTGAACTCACGCTCTCGAATCTAAGAGGAACCTAGTGGGCCTTCTGTCCCTCTGCCAGGCATCAGAGCCAGCACAGAAGCTGTCAGTAAATGCAGCCTGGGCCTGCCCTCGGGGACCCGCCGGCCACTCCACAAGACATGTGGTCACTGCGTGCGGTGTGACCTGTGACTGCATATGTGGCTGGGACAAGGTGCAGGCCTCCAGCAGGACAAATGGGATGAGGTAGATCAGGACCCCTTCCAGAAGGACAAACAGTCGTGGGGGACAGAGGCTGACGTCAGCACCCAGCGGAGAAAGACTGGGAGAAGGTGGGGAGCAGGGCAGGGAATGACCCCTGCGGGGTGGGCTGTGTAGAGTCTTGGGGACTCAGGAAGCGGCCTTTGGACGCTTCATCCAAGTAGGGGCAGTCATACTCTACCTGCCTTTCAGGAAGGTCCCTTTGGGGATGTGCTGCAGGGAGGGATCTGGGAAGTGGGTGGGAGTGGATGCTGGGAGTCAGGGGATGTTTAGACGGATTAGAGAGGGAAAGGGCCAAGGGGGGACCAGCATTGCCAGTCTGGGCAAGCACTGTGAACCCCCCTGCCCAGGTGAGAGGTAAGATGACCAGGGGACCTGAGATGCATCAAAGGGCATCATTCCCAGGGTCAGGACATGCCCAAGACATCAGGGGCCACCAGAGGCTCGCCCTGAGGTTGGGAAGGCTCCCCCACCTCCACTCCATGAAGTTCCTGGGGAAGGGGGAGTTGTGGTGACTCTGCATTGCAGGGTCACTGGGAGGACACTACGTAGGATGGACAGTCAAACCCCAGATACTGTTGCTCTAACGTGGGCTGGTCATTTCTGTGGTTTGAAGGCCTCAGTGGGAGCACAGTCCAGCCTCCCCTATTGCTAAGTGGGGGGCTGTGGTACCAGATCAAGTTCCTACAGGTGTTAAAAGATGCTATGATTTAAAAAAAAAAAAGATGCTCTGCTGGAAAAGGAGGGGCAATCTCCTCCTGTACAGTCAGATTTGATTTGATGGTACACATACAAATAATAATAAAATATTTTTTTAAAAAAAGGGGAGAGGTTTATCTTGTCAAAGAAGTGAAAAGTTTGGACTTGAGGTGGACAAGTATTGGCTGAGTCAGACCCTCAAAAGCTGTAAGCTTTCTGATGGACCAATCCACAGCCGGCTCGTGCCCATTGCAAACCTGCAATGTGCAAGGGGGTCCATGGGGGTCAGGACGAGGGGTAGGGATCTGAGAGCACGAGCCTTGGGGGACTCCATGTAGAATTCCGGGAGCAAAGTGGAGACTCAGCCACAATCCCCAGGAAACACCAGTGGGGCCCCCTGGAGGTCGGTCACTCTGTACTAGGTGGTCCCTGGCGCCCACCCCGCACGCCCCGGCCCAGGCCAGGCCCACTCACGCCTCCTCGTTATTGAGCACATTGAGGAGCCCGGCGATGAGGGCCTCCTTGGACAGAGCCTGGCTCTGCTCCACCACCTCCTGGAAAAGCTGCTTCCCGAAGCTCAGCTTCCTCCAGGGCGTGTCCAGCAGCGCGTTGCTCAGCCCGTAGGTGCCTGCGCAGAGCAAGGTCAGCCTGGTCAGGACGAGGCTGTCTGATTTCAGGGGGGTGAGTCCCCGGGATCCTCCATTCACAGTGTTTTCAGCCAGGCTCATGACAGCGGAGTGGTGAGGGCACTGTCCGGGGTGGGGGTGGATGTGCAGACGGAGCCAGATCAGAAGCTAAGTCCACGGACACATTGCTTGTATCTCCTGCTACTCATTCCTGACTTGCTTGTCATCAGCAAGAAACCAGGAAGCAGGGGCAACCTCAGGAAAGTGAGGTGAAGATTTGAAACACCCTTGATGGACAGATGATGAGTATGACACAGTCAAGATACAGCTGGGAAAAGCCGAGAGGGAACTCAAACATGTAACTAGCCCCTTGTCTCCCCTCACATCTCATTGTCATAACTGTCCACCCATCCATCCATCCATCCATCCACCCACCCACCCA